GGGGAAAAGAGATGAACGATGCAGGCAAAATTAATGGACACTCAAAAGTGTGGGCTGCCAGCAATTGGCATGGGCACTGAACCTGAGACAAGATTAAATAGATCAGAGTGGGTGCCAGAGTGACTCACCTTGATTGAATATAGGACAGCTCAGAGTAATTTAATACAATCTTGGGGAGAAATCCAATAGACATCTTGCCATCATATTTAAATATCAGATTAGAGCTTAATGGCTTTTTATGGGTTTTGATGCAGCCACAGTCAGGGTGAACACATTTGTACCCAACTGTTTTTGTCACATGCCCTAAAAGTCTGTAGGAAAATAAAGTCAAATATAATCAACAACCTCTCAAATCTTAATGTGATCGATTTCTTACATGGGGCCCCTTATATAAAAGAGGATTTCACAATAATGTTAATGTGCAATCAAAACTTTGCTTTTTGCATATTCTTGTCATGAATTGGTTTCTTATTTTGTAGATTTTCAGAGTTTAGATTTCCTTGTTGTATTTAATTCTCATTCTTCCCTGTGTTGCTTCCTTGTGTGTCCTTTTAATGTTTCCTAGTTTAATCTTTAGTGTTTTCTGTTTTATTTTGTAATCTGTTATCTTAGTGTTTCTCCATGTTCTGGCGTGTCTTGATGTTACATTCTTGAGGTCCTTTGTCTTCAATGTTTCATGATTTATTTTGTGTTAAGTGTTTCTTGTCCTGTGTTATTCCTGCCTCTGTGTTTCCCTCCAGTGTGATTGCCCTCATTGTCTTCACCTGTGTCATTCTCACCAGTGTCTGATTACCCCTGTGTCTATTTAGTCTCTGTGTTTCTTCCCTTCTTTGTCAGATCATTGTTTGTCAGGTGTCAGTTGCTGTCAGAGTTTCCCCAGTATCAGTCCTTGTGACTCCCTGTTTTTTTGTTGTTGTTTTTTTTGAAGAAAGTAAGTTTTTGTAGGTCTTTTGCCTTTTTGTTAAAATTAATAGTTTTAATTTGATTCTGCACTTGTTTCAGTTTCTATTTTTCAACCACCATGACAATTGTTCACTTATTATTAGCTTACTATTTATCCACAAACATTAGCGAACTATTTCAATCATTTACCAGAAAACAAAAGACTGTTTTACCTGTTAAGTCATTGTTTTGACTTTCTTTCCAAACAAAACTCAACTGCTTAATCTGCAAACAAACTCAACGGTCAGTCGTGTAACTAGCCTGCATCCAACTAATTCACCATTCAATAGTTTTATAGCTAAGCAGCGTTCAGCATACCACACAGTAGCTTTTTTAGCTAATATTCGATCATTAAACTGAACGATTTTAGCCACTGATGTTAGCTAACTGTGTTGTAGCCAGTTTTAAGAATTAACCAATAAAATTAAAGCCACAGTATTATGTCTTAACTATTTAGCCGACCATATGAACCTTAACTATAAATCTTTGTCCACCGATCGACGCTAACGGATTTAGCCATTTATTTTAGTGAAACAGCTCGACCATATAGGCTATCCGAGAATGTTTTTAGTCACAGAACTCCGATAACTCTTTCAAGAATTTACTTAAACCTATTTTTATCTATTTTTATATAGGCCAGGCATCTCAAACATGAACCATTTCAGCAATATACCCTCTTTCAGCAATCAATGATTTAAGCTAGGCTGTCTATTTGAACTTTTTGATTTCCATTACATTTTGCTAGCTTGCTAACCCGTTTGCTTATTATCTCGCTGACGGCATGCAGTGTGTTACAGCCACATTATTTTTCTATACAACTTGGAATTTATATTTTTTAAAGTTCACGTTATACTCCTTTTCAACCAGTCTGAATAAATCTGAATGTCTGTGAAGTTTCTTGTAAAAAAATCCACTCTGATACGGTATCTTATCTTGCCTTGAACCCCTCTATTTCAGCCCTGCTCAGAACAGTAGTGTTGGAGTCAAGACCACACTAACTGAGACCAAGACATACTCAAGACCAGAGTGCTCCGAGACCATGACAAGATCAAGACATTTAGGGATCGTGACCGAGTCAAGACCATAACTATAAATGAAAATCCTCATTTTGTAGACAGGCTAGGGACACACACCACATGCCAGACTGCCTTTGTACCATCTGTGACACATCATCTCTGGGTGTGTTTCTGTGATCTGGGCTTGACCTCTTTATGTAAATTTAAATTAGACAAGTGCCCCAACTGTCAGACTTAAACCTTCAATTTCTACTCTGCAAGACTTAAAAGAAAGCTCTAAACTAACTATTTATTATAAATATGTGACTGAGGTGGAGGCGGTATCATGCCTGTGAGCAGCTGTCTGCCAGTGACAAATTCCACAGAGGCAGGAACAAGCTCAGTGTGTGACATGTTATTATCATCTTCTTTAAAACACAAATAAAATGGTAGTAGACACAGTATTAAATCACCTGTGAAATTCATTTTCTTTGTGTTGTTTTTTTTTTTTTTTGCTACCCAAGGTTACAAGGCAAACGTTTACATGAATAATAGCAACAGTGCGGCTGTTTTGTGTACTTGTAAGAGCAAAGGACACGCTAGACTGCGAGCGATAGAAATGTGAGCCATAAACATTTGAGCAGGACCACCCATGCTGTTAAGCCTATTTGTTCAGGGATAGAGGCCAGCTTCTCATCTGCAGGAGCTCCTGCCAATTAGGATAAAAGAGGTTAATCCCTGCAAATGAGAATCACTGAGGCTGATGCTTTAATTAAGATGAACTGTAGCAGAGCTAAGGGCACCGTGGATCTATAATGCCACTTGGAGCTCTTAGAGACATGTTGTATTGGTTTCCTGGCTGCTGCAACAACACATTTCCTTTTTTGATGTTCAGGAAAATGCTGACAGTCAGAAAGCTACTCAGCTAATTACTCTGTCTGTGATCAAAAATGTAAGTTGAGTCCCTTGTTTATGGGAGGGTTTAATGGGTGTCTCTAGACATTACACAGAAGCCTATTTATAGCAAAATGCAGTGAGTGAGTAATATAGGCAAAGGTTAAAGGCCATGAAAGGTCAATGCGTATTCCTGTAAAACTAATTCTTAATTGATAGGAAGAGGATGAAAATTGAATATAGGAAGAGCTCAGAGTAATTTAATACAATCTTGGGGAGAAATCCAATAGACATCCTGCCATCATATTTAAATATCAGATAAGAGCTTAATGGCTTTTTATGGGTTTTGATGCAGCCACAGTCAGGGTGAACACATTTGTACCCAACTGTAGGAAAATAAAGTCAAATATAATCAACAACCTCTCAAATCTTAATGTGATCGATTTCTTACATGGGGCCCCTTATATAAAAGAGGATTTCACAATAATGTTAATGTGCAATCAAAACTTTGCTTTTTGCTTATTCTTGTCATGAAATGGTTTCTTATTTTGTAGATTTTCAGAGTTTAGATTTCCTTGTTGTATTTAGTTCTCATTCTTCCCTGGTGTTGCTTCCTTGTGTGAAAAATGAATCATCCTATCAGTGGGATCCATGCTGTGGAGCTTTAATAAATGTTATGACTGAGACACATGCAAACCCCTGGATAAGCTGAAACCCCCCCCCCAGAAATTAGTACTTTTTTATCACAGAGTATGAAGGCTGAAGAAAAAAAATCTCAGATGCTAAGAATAAGGTCTCGATAGAATACATTTTTTTTTTAAATGTTGTGATATTACAAGGCTGCCTATAAGACCATCTTTCTCTGAAGTGGACTCAGTTTCTCACTAAATCTTTTCAGAGTCTGATACTTGTGACTATATGGTGCAATGTGCCAAATGATTAAGTATTCAGTTATTTGTGAAAACTTTACCAAAGTATAACATTACATAAGATGCTCCACATTCCTCATTAAAGTGAAGGTGACTGGCTGCGCCTCTGACATTTCCCTTCAAAATAAAATGGGCTTACCAGAGAATAGAATAAAGCCTTTTTATTCTCATAAAATTATGAATTTACCCTTGTCAAATTACGACTTATTTTCACATCAGGACTTGGATCTCTAACAACTTTATTCTCAAAATATTACAAATTTATTCTTTCTGGAAATCTCTGATGTTTTTTTTTCTTTATTGTGGCTCCTCATACTTAGTAGTTCCTTATACTCCATTGATGTGATCCATTAGCCTCCATGCAGGTTTTGTCCTTTAAGCCTAAACCGTAACTGTAAACCATAAAGATCTGAAAAACACACGAGTGGCACTGTATACTGAAACCTCCGCATCATTAGCACAAGACTGCCTTCTTTAATGTAGCTTCTTTTAAAAGCCAGGTCGAGTTTTTTATGTACAAGTCATTAACCTGAAAGATGAAAGGCAGGCACAGGAAATTCACTTCTCATTTCCATATGTCCTTTTTGAAATATCATGAAAAGATTCTATTATTTCAATGCATGCATAACGTTTTTACAATTTCCCAACGTTCCTCTCACATGAGATTTTTCCTGCTTCAAACTGTTGATCATATAAGAATGCATGTAAGTTTGAAACACCTGTAAATCAGACTAGCAGTCAGCACTCCAGCTGTTTAAACCTTCATGTAATCGATGTCAAACAGGGTCAGCAGGTAAAGGGGAGTAAGTGGAGACTTTTATAAATGCTAAAATGTGCTGCTTAATGAGACCATTAAGTGCTTCATTCTCACCTCCTGTGACCTCTTCTGTCTGAATAATCCGAATTTTAATAGTTAAGTGAAGTTTTTTCAGTGCTGTTCAGGATTTCTTTTCAAGGTTACAGGAAGTTTTCATCTATAAGATTAGGCCAGAGACTGTAAAAAGAAAATCATATACAGTATAGATTAGGCACATTAATAACATATTGTTAAATCAATCAGCCGATAACATGACAACAGCAACCCTCTCTGTTGACAGACACAAACATAGAAGGTTGTAATGTTGTAAAAGAGCTCCATCTAGTGGTGAGTTAGATACATGCATCTATAAATGGAGTAATGTTTTTGAACTGTCTCATGTTCATTTTTGGAATAATGATCAATAAAAACAAATCAAAGAACCCAAATGCAAAAAAAAGACAATATTTATTAATGAAATGTCAGTTTCACCACCAAGAAGATAAATTAAAGCCCTGCAGTCTCCAGTGTATTTGGCAGTTCCAATGAATGATAGTATTACTTAACCTCTCATTGTCACAACAAGGGTTACACATACAGAAAAAGCACTCCACCACCCTTATGCAAGTCTTACAAGATAACAAATAACTAACAGATGCCCACTTTGTTTTGTATTAAACATGTCCTATTCATCAGGTCGATCATGTTTCAGTTGTACATTTTATTTCTCCTGTGTTGTAAACCTGCACATACACATAATAATCCTTCATTTTTAATTTCAAATAACCTCCATTTATTTGGATCTACACTTTCAGACCGTTGTTGGCAACATTATTGTACAATCGATTTGGTCAACAACCTGTAGTGAACAGTGTAAATAGTGAGTTAGTCCTCTGTATCAAAAATATACAAGCATCACCAACGTCTGACACAGAAAATACTTTTCTTTACTGATTGTATTCAAAATGTCTGTAAGTCGACCCTGTTGAAGAAAAGCTCTTGAAGTGAGTTTACTCCTCATTCTTATGCTAACACACAGCAGAACAAGGCTGTTCACTTTAGTGTAGAGCAAATAGACAGCACAACCGACAAGGTAACTAAAACTCGACTGTATCATTTAGAGACTCTATCTTTTATGCAGCTTAACTACGTTTTATTTGTCAAACATCAGTTTCTTCACTCTTTGTAAACTAAAAGCTAAAAGTGACTTCATTATACAGTTCCATGACTACCAGGGCTGTCAACAATTACATTTTTCAGGATTTAATTTCAATCCTTAATTGTGAATTATCGCATGTTTTGAAATTCCACTATTTTGCATTGAAATGTAAAAATTGTTCGGCTTTTATTTTGAATTTTTGTACCGTCTTAAGCTGAAAGTACTTGCCATTTGAATTAAACCGTGCTTTTATTTTGAAATCAAGTAAGGAGCTGCTGGTAGATTGAAGGTTACAACATTAACTTAACAGAAAAAGAAACTCTTCACTGATCAAAAACGAAATGAAAACAGTTCCAAGGAACGGTAAAAAAAAAAAAGGCCAACGTTTGGATATTACTTTTGGCTCGTCTACTGAGGAGTGTTGGAGATTTTAAAGTGAAATGAGACATTCAAAGGTGCAGCAGAGATATTATTTTCCATCTCTGTGACTACAGGGAGACACTGCACAGGCTATCCACCGTGCGCCTAAAGGGACAAAATACAATTAATCGCAATTAAAAAAATAAATGCATGAATTTGAGACCTTCATTAATTGTGATTAACTAGTTAATGCTGACGGCACTAATTACCACAGTTAAGGACTTTGGGATTGCATTCCTTCAAAACTGATGCTAAAAACAGACTTTCTTTACTTAACCATCATCAGTGCAAAAAAAACCCACAAATTAAACTAATTCAACTAAAAGAAGACTCAAACTAATCTATTTATTTAGCAGCACTACAGTTTGGTGTTCTATATTCAAACACAGATTCAGACCACATGATTTCTATGTCAAGAAGAATCTGATGACAAAAATTACAGAGCGATATTTAAACCCCAACGAAGGAGACAAAAAAAACAAAGTTAACAAAACCCGCAAAATAAATATTGTTTTAACTGAACCTGATCTGCGACACATTCAAAAACAATTGTCACCACAAAAAAAATAATTTAACCACCGCTTTAGTGCAGTAAAACATTTACCCATGAAACAAGTGTTTTCATTTCTTCCCCCGAAGCGTTCGTTCTAACAATGCTGAGGTCAGGAGAAAAACCTAAACCGGACCTACTTCAACATCTACATTTACCTTTTTCATACAAAAAAAAATTGGTTTGAAATTGGAGTGGATTTGATACGACTCTGCTTTGATCACAAGGTGAAAATCATGTAAAATATGCACGTCCATCATGCCTAACATGACTATTATTTCCCTCAATGTGATTGAAATAACAGAGCCCTTACATGTGCACCTTTGCAAAGACTAGCCGAGCACTTTCCGGTGTATAGAAGTCAACACAGTAAGGCATGAAACAACCCACAGCTTTACAAACACACCTCTGCATTATGTTTTTACTACGCTATGTACAAATGAAAAGCAGCTACATTGTTCACTTGATTTGACTGTCAAAGATTTCAAACTACTCTAAATAATTAAAGTATCAAATGGCCACCAGTGTGGGACGGAAGACCTGCCTGTCCGTAGCAGGGCCCGACCGATATGAGATTTTTAGTGCCGATATCAATCTTATCAATATTTTTTAGATATACTGTTTGATCGATCTGTAGAGACAGACAGATGAAGACAAATACATTTATTGCGTTGATCCCCCAAATGCAGTTATCAAACACTCTGGGGGGTGATAATGCTAGTTATAATCCGTATAGCACCCTCTGCTGGTGACAGCCAGAAAGAGACCTACTAGTGAAATACAACAACAGTTAATTTAAATGCTTTTTTGACTGGTGACTAAATCTAATAATAACAGTCAGCCAATAGTCTCTGGATAAGCTATTAATCGGTCGGGCTCTAGTCATGTGTGCCTGTTTTCAATGTTCAGTTAGATCAATGCTGCATTAACGTGACAGTGAGCAGAAATGCATCTTAATTATAAAAGCATGAAGTGATACAAAAGTTATGGCTGAGACAGAATTATCGTTTCTATGAAAAATAAGAGCGACTGAAAAAAGTCCTTCATTGTTTTTTCAAAAACGTTCTGGGAGCAGGTGGCACTGACTGAGATTGACATCATGTTTCTAACACAGACATCTCCTTTAAGCTTTTCTGTTAGTCTCCCAATTTTAAGAGAAGATCATTTAAAAGGATCCAGTGAGTACTACATTTCACTGCATCCACAACCAATGTTCACAAAGTGCAAGTACATACTGTATACAAGACATTTGAACTTGTTCTCAGAAAAAAGTTCATGAGAATTTGTTGTTGAAAATCCATGAAACATCCTTGTAAATGATGAGAATCAAACTGTTTGCTCTCCCCTCGTGTTCTCACCTGCATTAACACTGGAGACACAACAAGCCGTGAGAGGAGCAACACCATCGAGTGTCCTCTGCTCCTCAGACTCCACAGTCGCCGGATCTGTCCTGGAGTTTGCGGGTGAGGATGAGGAAGGTGGAGAGTGAGGCGACTGAAATGTGGAAGATCAGCTGCCAGGCGTTCCTCAGGCCAAACAGGTAGAGGTTGCATAGGAAGATGATACTCAACAGAGTGAAGCACTTCGGCTTCTTTCGAGATGAGTGGAACAGGTAGAGGTGGCACTGTGGATGCAGAGAAGAGGGTCAAAAAGGAGTTCAACAAATGTCTCTTACAGCAGGAGTGAACAGCTGTGCTTTGGAAATGTGAGGCTCGTTTACCTGAAACACGCAGCAGATAAACGCCAGAAGAAACGCGACAACATTCCAAATACCGTCATAATCATCCTGCAGACAGAAAATGAACCAGACAAATAAGGCGGTTAATGTGAAAGTGTACATCATTTTAAAAAGCACTAAATTGATTCCAGAACTAAAATCCCAGACTGCACATAAAGAAAATGACTTTGTGATATGAGGTGAGAAGGCTGTGCTGTATAAATACTTCATGTAAACTATTTTTTTTTTAAATTACAAAACACATTTGAAGAAGTTGGGATAGGATTCTGGCCGTACCTGGAATGTATACTCGATGAGGTGAACACCTCGAATTATGTTTAAAGATGCACACATGATATTCAGGACCAGAGAGAGGATGCCTGGTGCCGTCACAGGTTCAAGTCTTACATTCTGACCTGATTGACAAAACAGAGGGAAGAAAGAAATAGTCAGTAACTATAATAAAACACGGACAAATCTTTGAAAATACTGTTTCATTACAAAAATAATGAAATACAAAAAATAAACAAATATTACAGTGAAAATGTCATTTATTTGCTGTACAGTATAACTTCCATGCGCAGCAGTCTTACCTGATCCAGGACCTTGATCGATATGCCCGTTTGCAATGCCGTTAGTGAGATCCACTTCCTCTAAGTTAATTACTTGTGGCGGTTTAATCCTCAGATCCTCCTGGACCTCTGCCAATGTCACCTCCAGGGCCGGACCCCCACTCTGGTTGTACTGCTGCTTCAGCTTCTGAATGGTGCCATCTGTGGATTTTCATCCAGGGTAATATTAGAATGTGTTTAGAAATAAGAAAAAACTCTAGGGCGACCTCTTTTTTTATTGTATGTGATTTTTGTATTTCTGTTTAGTATTAAAGTAAACATGGGAGCTGTGGTTTATATTCAAGAAGTACTATTGCTATTCAAACAAACACCTTCTGCAATTTCATTAATCACGAGTAAATCTGCAGGTTTATATCTCACTAAACTCACCAAATTCCAAAAATGGATACGGCCGGGCTGCCAAGGCAACAACAGTGCTATTGAAGCATGCTGTGAACTCCCAGCGCAGATCTTCCAGGAAGCAGAAGGCCTTAGCAACAGGGAGGCTGCAGTGGCACACGGTCATGTAGGAAACACCCTCCGAACAGACGAAGCTGAACAGGTGACAGGAGAAAAGGTGTTTAGTAAACAAACCGCCTGCCGAAACATGACATGCACGCCCCTGTGGTCACATGGACAACATTCTGTCTGTTTTCAGCTTTAAAAAAAAAAAGCAAACACACTGTGAGTCACTACAGATGGGCATTGTGGCAGAGAACACACTCCTTACTATATGTTGAGCTCCTGGCCCTTGATGCTCCCTCTGTCAGGGAAACAGGGCAGAGCCTTGCTGATGGTCCTGAGCTGCTGTTTCCTCTCCTGGAGCTCTCGGTTGTGTTCAAAGTCAGTGGAGGCCGACAGGGGGAGTCCATCCCTGACTCGAACCACGAAGGCAAACAGGATCAGAGACATGATCCACTGGGTCCATGAAGAACACAATGCCTACATGGGGTCAAGAGAAAGATCATATTATTTGTAATGCTATGGTAGGGTTACAACTACATCATTTGACAATCTTTTTTTCTTGATTTATCAATTCATTTGTGTCAGTAGTATATTACAAATTGTAAAAAGATAATCCTTAAGAGGCAAAATAAACACTTCTAGACACTGTCTTGTTTTGTTAAAAAAAACAACAACAATGCATATCCAAAACACATTCAGAGAACAGAGAGAGGCATGACAATCACTTGATTTTTTTTTGTTGTTGCAGATAATTGTGTTGTCTTTCATACACCTATTTGTTATTTGAGATACTATTATTTTATACGACAAATACACCGCTTTGTTTATTTATACCAAAATCAATTTAGATGCCAGTTTATTAAGCACACTGTACCCATATAGTCCATGGGCCAGATGTTCAACCAGTACCACTCAAGGTGGCAAAGGTTAGTGATGATTTTTGAAAATGTCCATGTCTGTAGATTATATTTTGGTATGACAGACTTCCTGAGTGGTAGCTGAGTCATAGAAACAAGCTCATGAAGAGACCCCCCCCCCCCCCCCCAAACTTAAATGCATTTTAGACGCTGGTGCATATCTTGGTTTAGGCCCATGTTCAGGACATTTGTCAATGTTTAATACTATTGTGTTTGGTATCATTTTAAAGGGCACATTCTTGGCTTTCGTTCAAGACCAATTGTGAATCTTTCTGACATACATTGAGGTAACTGTGGCTCTTGAAATTGTAAAAAAACACACATTTTCCACCAATACTTTTAAAGTGGGATACAAGAGCTATGTAAATACATCATACTTTTATGAAGCATGTCACTTTAAAAAAAAAAAAAACAGTTTTATCCAGGTGTTGAAGCATCTAAAACATCTAAAATCTAAATAAATACAAATTACTGCACTCAAACTTTAATTGTGACTGAAACTGAACATATTGATTGATTGATTGACTGATTGATTCAATTTATTTCAGACATATCAAATAAAATCAAACATATCAAAACTACAAAACGAAATGAACAGCACGAAAATACAATCAACAAAAAAAAACAATGTTCAAATTATTTCACAAAAAAGAAAAAGAAAAAGCAAATTACACATACTCAACTGATATGCCTGAAAAGGTATAAAGTATAAAACTTATTTAATCCTACCCCTTTTCCACAGCTCAATAATTAATATTTATTAAATTAAATAAATGTGTTCCTTATAATCTCTCTATATATACAGAATCTATCTATATTACTATATTTAAGATACTATATTTGATATTTACAATCCAATGATTTTCCATACATATATACAACTTGATATACTATGATGTTTTATAATTTATATATTTATACAATCCATATATACATATCTATTTGTACTATATTTACATTTTATATATTTATCCAATCCTTATATCTATACAGCTTGGTACAGTATGTTTACAAATATACATTTAATACAATCTATATATTCATATGCAATTTGATATAGGCTACTATATGTACAATTTACATATATATAATACACATTAACATACACCTGTGTATACAAAACTTGTAAACCCAATTGTTATAAGAAGCCTTTTGTTGTTATTCATACCGCCATCTGTTTAACCATGTGCACACTGAATGTTATTATTAACTGTGTTGATTTTATTCTTAAATGAACGCTGCTCAGTTAAATCCCACTCACAAAAACATATTACTCCAGTGGAGGGTCACACAGACACGAGTAGAGAATAACTCACCTCATTATTATGGATTTCATGCTGCAGCTTGTAACTTAGCTACTTGAGGTTAGCGAGCTTACACCATCATATCATAAAAATACAAAAGTTGCAGCCAGCAATCCGCAGCTTCAGATGCACACACTGAGTTAAGTTTGGTACTTTTAACTGCCAGCGATTATACAAACACTCCCACTTATTTGTAATGTTAAATGCGAATAAAGTCGCATTAAAATTAGCCACCGAGCTAACTTGAAGGCTTCTTCCTCATACACCAAAACAAATCTTCTACGGAAACTCGGCAGGGACAAAAAAGAAACAGACTCTGCAGCGCATCAACACCCGTTCATCAAATAAAAGTGAGTTTAGCGCATGCTACCTGTCGGCCGCCAGTGACTAGCTTTTTGTTGAGCTAGCTACTGCACATAGGTAATTATTTTTTATTTGCAATTCTGAACAAGCTCTTTGCCTTCAGCTTCATCGTCATTATTTGTATATGAATTGTCTTTGTGGGTGAGATAAGTCGAACGGCAGCTAGCTCGTTAGCTCGACCGTTTCGCCTGCGCTAACATGGAAGTAAACGTAGTTAAATGTGATTGTTTCCTTTCCTGTTATTCATCAAATATGCGGAACCTTTAACAACCGAGCTGATATACGTGATTATACCAGTTAATGTAAAATAATTTATAGCGTTATATTGTAGGTCATTCGTGTGTTTATGTTAATTTTAATCTGTTATCATCATCAACATTCCTGATTCAATCAATTAATTTATTGACCTCATTTAAGTGTTTAGGCAAACTGGCTGCTGTGGTTTGCATGGCGTTTAGCACTTTGAGCGTGTACTTGTTGAGATGTATTAAACACATTGGCTTGACATAAGTAGGATTTATGAAGTTGAAGTGGATTATTACTGTGTACATTTAACAGGGAAGTTTGATTGACAATGCAATTCTCAGAGAATCAGAGACAGACAGGTGATGTGACATGATGAGGGTGAGGCTGTCTTTAGGATTAGCTGAAATGATGGGTCAGATTTACCTACTGTAATATTTTTACATTACATTAAATAGTGTAGATTATATGATATTTTATATATATATATATATATTAGAATATAATATTACTTTATTGATCCCAAACTGGGAAATTGTGGCGTTACAGCAGCAGGTTATCCAAACACACAATATGAGTAAAAATGTTAGCGAATTTAAACATAATATAATATTAAATACAAAGTAAATAAGTACTAAAATATCTAAACTAAGAATGTGAATATATACAACCAGGATTTAACTAAGCATTACTAGTCTTAAATAGGAAGATTAAATATGAAAGATTGAATGTAAATGTGTGAAAACAGAGTTGTAAATGGTTGTAAATTAAATATGAAAGGTTAAATGTAAATGTTCAAAAAGAGAGTTGTAAATGGTTGTAAATGAAATATGAAAGGTTAAATGTAAATGTATATATTAGTTGTCTGTGCAGTGTCACATATAGGCTATATATAGTGTTTCATGGGAAATGGACATCCCAGTCCTTGTGGTTTGCAGCTGTCACTAGACTGAAATTAGTTCCAACACATTTTGTGAGTTGGTATTTTAAGTCCATTTTAAAGGATCCAGAATAGGTTCAGGTTCAGAATAGAGTTTGCTTGGTCCACATGATTCCTTAGTAATAAACCTACTTTATTCTGGGTTGACTCTTCTGGGTTAACTAGTGTTTGATGTGCGTTTGCCTGTACTGCTTTTGATGTAAACTTGTTCACAAGAGGCCACCGTCATACCTTAAAGAGACATTTCTGTCTATTCTGACTCTGCCTGTGTTTTTGCAGGCTCTGTAGTATCTGCAGTGTGTGCCATATCAGTGTCTGTAAACCATCACACTCAGTGATAAGTCAGTGAACATGTTGAAGTGGAGTTCAAAAAATGTGCTGGGAGGAAGCCGTGCTTAGATTCGCATTGCTGGTACAGTGAGTCTTCTCCCTCACTCCCCTCCCATCGCTCTCTCCCCTCCCCTTTCTTCTTCTTCCTACCTCCCTTGCTGTCTGTTAGTTTCCCCACATTGTTTTCCAACACACTCTGCTATGTTGTCGTCCATAGGTGTACACTTGACAGCTGAGGAAGTCAACCTGAATGTGGCTCTTTAAGAGACTGTAGCCTGATTATTTTTAATACAGAGTTTTTATCTTTACCCTTTTTTACATTTTAGGTCAACTAGACTTTGATCACTATGGGGGTGAAAGACCGCCCTCAGTGCTACTTTGATGTGGAGCTCAACCGGGAGCCAGGTAAGAGAATTTAAAATCAGTTTACAGGTAAACAGAAGTGGTTCATTTTCACACATGGTTGCTTTGAACTGATATAATTAAAAACATAATCTGCATGTATAAAAGGTTTTTTCTGTAAGTGTGTCACTGCGAGTGGTTGTGAACAGTTTGGTTGAAGCCTAGCCTTGGGTAGCTATTAGCGTTGTGTACCAAAGGAGCTGTATCTAAGTGCAAATGATGTAAATGTAAAGACAGGAGGACCAGTTCAGCGGCTGCAGGCTATATAAAAATACACATTTAGATAAGAAAGAACAAACCAACCTTCATTACGCTCATCAGAGAGCTTTCAGGTTTGCTGTGAGCTATGGGAAAGTTTCTATAATGTCTCGGCCTCACCACAGGATCCTCCTAATTGTTGGAAACCCATTAAAAATATGCTGATGTTTGCAGTGTTATACTCCTGTAATGTACCTCTTAATGTATCCACGGCCTGGTGATTGTTATAAGCCTTTGTTAATTGCTTTTATGAACATCATGTTTATCTGACAGTGCCTCTTATCATCCTGTGACTTTTTTCATTTTTTAGGAGCTACAAGCTTACTTTGTTCTCTTCTGTGTTTTCTAGTTGGACGTATAGTCTTCCAACTTTTTTCCGATGTCTGTCCCAAGACAAGCAAGAACTTTCTCTCTTTGTGCACTGGTTAGTAATCACACTATTTCTATTCCATCCTTGTTCATTGTGTTCTTTATACCCAAATAATGAAGTACGCCGTGTGAGTGCATTTCATGAAACCTGTATGTGCTGTAGTGATCCATTTCACTGTTTGAAAATGGTTGAGGTTGTCAGGCCACATACTTCAGTAAATCGATAACTTCCTCTGATTAAATCAAGCTTGTATCATTCACTTCCAATCTGTCCCCTCTAGATAATAATGAGTAAGAAAACGAGGCTGCCAATAGGAGCCCGAGTATCACTTCGGACACTCCTCTTGGGTCATTTGATATGTTGAGGAAAGGAGCATGTGTAAATTATCCGATGACAGATGGACTCACTGGTTGGACAGAGGGGATCCTGGTCTCTCTGCCTACATACATCGTCCAACAGAGTAGAACACAGTGTACTGTAGTAGGGTTGGTTTGACTAGTCTGTTCCTTTTCCTGGACACGCAGACACAACACTGCTCAGTGACGTACTGTGTCTGACTGAGCAGTTTGCTGTGGCTTTCTCAATGTCACTACTGTGTCCTTTACGGAGGGGGATCAGTCTCCACCATTAGAAACCAAACCAATGGAACAATACTGAAGCAAAAGGAATCAAAATACTAAGAGATTAGCAACCTAAGCAGGTGATCAGAATGGCCAGACCCCCTGTCCCCTGAAAGCACACTTCAACACTTCAACACATGTAATCAAATCTCTACCTGTAGGGCTCCTTTTACTTTAGGAAGTAAACCCAATATTTGGCCCATTGTCTGCTTCACTCTAGTGGAAAACTTCTTACTGAAACGTGTCAGAGCACTAACAACAGGATGCCTGAATAAAGGCATGTGCTTTATTAAATTCTCCTCCATTCGTTCTCCACATGTGGTTTCAGAATAAATCCTGTGGCAACGTTCTCGGCTTACATTACTTTACACCTTAAGGCATCTGGTATACACAAAAGCACTTCACACAGTAGGTCGTCTGTTGAACGTGTCGCATTTGAGGGCTCGTGTAACATGTCTCTCATTGCAGGTGAAAAGGGAACGGGCAAAATCACAGGGAAAAAGCTGTGCTACAAAGGCTCCACATTTCACAGAGTTGTAAAGAACTTTATGGTCCAGGGTGGCGACTTCACTGAAGGTAATCATGTCTGACAGAGGACCTCTTTGCATCCTAAATTGACGTGTTTCATCAAGTTGATCGAATTATCGAACTGGTTGTGTTAACTCTTTCTTTTTGTAGAAGAAATGTAGCCTTCACAGTTTGTTTGAGAATGAGTCAGTTACTCTCTGGATTTTCAACAATGGTTATTTTTTGCATCGTTTCCAGAAACAGCTGCACAAATAATCACAGTATGATCTTTGTAATATGGCCTGGTGCAACTACCATCTCATAGAGCCTTTAATTTAAAAAAGAAAAAGTAAAAGAGGTGTTGGTGTGTTTTACCTGGTTGTAGAACTCATCGCTATTCAAAATCATTCTTACCTCCACAATCGTACTTAACGCTTCTGAGGTTTTTATTTTTTTTATGTATCGCTTTATCCTTTTTCTAGAAAATGGTGTTTCTGTCCTCTTAATTGACTGACTGATCTTTTGATTGTTTGTTTTCAGTCTTATTTTTCCATTTTATCAGTTAACTAAATATAATTATTCATTTAACATTTTAATAAAAAACGTCACTCTTTTGTTAATTATTTTTCTTTACTGTACGTCACTGTGTTTTTTTTACAAACTTCCCCTGGATGGATGAACAGAGTTGTTTGAATTTGACTTTGTAACATACAGAATAATAACAAAGCACTAAATGCTGCAGAGATGCACTGGCCTTCCAATTTTCTCCGGGTGTACACAAATGTCCAATCATCATTATTTAAAAAAAGTTTTTCAGTGACAATACAAACTCTAATGCGAACATACATTCCTTGTAATAGTAATGCACTTGTGATATGAGTCACACTAGTTCATTTTTTTCCCCAACATATCGTCCAATCCTTGTTTCAGAACCATCAATTTGTTACAAAATCACCGGGGGGGGGGGTGAAGCGAGGGTAGACACCATATTCTAATCAAAGGGTTGCTTTGTTGTGTTGATGTGGGTGTTTGTGGACAAAATGCAGACACTACACTTTTGTCTGAATGTGGGAGCCACATGCATCGCTCTGCTTATTTCTGAAACTCTGACAGGTGTGTTTAGAGTTCATTTCAAGAGGTTGTTTTTTTTTTTTATATGATCTTAATGAACTCTGTTGATCTCTGCAGGAAATGGAAGGGGAGGAGAGTCCATATATGGTGGCTACTTTGAAGGTAATTGGAATTTCAAACTACCAAAAAAGCAGTATATCATTTTGTTGTCTTCTAAAAGTCAATCTAAAAGCAAAGTAACGCCTTTTGCATGTGAAATGTTTTGCATGTCACTCTAATGTTAATAATGGGTTTCTTGTGAATGTTCCTACATATGACTGTTGACCTTCACTTCTCCATTGTATAGTGCTATTGTACAGTAGAAGGCTTTGTCAAATCAGCATGGAGAGTAGGCATTCTCTTTATTGAAAGCTACAATCTTCCTGCCTAAAATTTTCAACATATTCTTTTATTTATAGAGTGGTCTTTTGCAAAATGAGAAGGTAAGAGATGTACACAGTTCAGTAACACAATGTCAACATTGTCCCCACCACCTTCCTCTGAAAAAAAAAAAAAAAAAACTGTGCGAATGTTTGCAAATGATGCAGGTGCAAATTTGTTGTGAAAGGCTTGTTACAGGTTCTTCTATACAAACAGCTTCACTGTTTTTAGAGCCCCAGAGCCTCGAGCTGCTCATGTTACTTTTTTATGTTACGTGGTATTTATAACCACATGACGTCCATGACACCAAGTCAGATGCAGGCTGCAGGCTCCTGAGCTCAATAGAAGACTTATTAAGAGCAGCACATTGGCTCTCTGCTGCCTTGCATCGCTGGTTCATCAAAAGATGCTGAAAAAAAAAAATTGGAGCACTTTTTCGATTTTTAAGTTTCCAACTTCAATGTTTTTAGAAAGCCTGATGATAACGATGACTTGTATTTGTTTACTTTTCTTATATTTCGTAGCATGTTTCCAGTCAATTTCTTTCTACATTTTTCTCTGTAAACGTACACTTACTCCACATCAATGCACAAATATTCTAAGCATTCGATGTGTTTGGCTTTCCTTCACTCAGTAATGAAGCCGGTTTCACGTCTAAGCCTCTTGTTAAATGTTACAATAGATGCAAACCATGATTCTATACTTTGGAACCGAGTCAGAATGATGTTCATTTTTAGTTTCAGGACTGAAACACACATTTTGTACTTAAGAAAAGGATCATAGTAAAAAATCGAATCAGTGCCATTATGGAATGAGTGGATGGTGAGGCAATGATTAGGTTTTATAAATCACCATTTTTATCCCCTTTGACTTGCTGTCCCCTGAATATTTCCGTCTTCATGTTTACAAAAACACGTTCCAAGACTTCCATCCGTCTTTTTCTGATGTTAACAGACGAGAACTTCACTCTCAAACACGACAGACCCTTCCTGTTGTCGATGGCCAACCGAGGGAAGGACACCAACGGTTCACAGTTTTTCATGTGAGTTACTGAGTAATTAAAACTTTCCTGCTAAACTGACAGCTTTATTTGCTTTTTTGAATGATTTTGCACTCTTCCACTTTTCTCTGTTTTAAAACTGTAGAATGAGTCATTGACAGTCACCGCTGTGTTTGCAGTTAGAGTCTAAAGTGCAGAGAAACATAGATTCATTCTTTTCTTTTTTTTTTTCCTACAAATGTGTTACATTTCTTCTCTTGCCATTTTGTGTAACATTTTACAGAAACTCTAGCATCCTGCTCCTCCAAGGTAATGTTTCTCCAAGGCTGTGTTTCTCTCTCTCCTGACTGTTTTCATCATTCTCTAGTTTTTATGAGCAAATATTCTGACGAGTACAGTGTTTACTTTGGATTGTTTGGATAGTATTCACCAAAGTCACATGTCTTATTTGACTATGTAGACTTTGCTAATCACAATGACATGCTGTCACTATAAGGTAGAAGTTTTCTTTGTGTGTTTAAATACTTGTAACTTAAAGGAGGCTGATGATTCAAACATTTCTTATAAAGTTACCAACTCTCATTCCTGTTATTTTTACGTCATCAACCAGAATTTAAAGTTTTTCTAGATTGATTTGAAATGAAATATCATGAAACAGAAGCTGGCAAACTTCATGTTTTTATTTTTTAGAATTTTCCCAGAGGCACTGTAGCATTCACAGGATGTTGACGTGACTTACTTATTCTCGTTCTTTTCTCATTCTCCTCTTTTTTACATGACCGTGTCCCTGCCATTGGTCCACCTTCCCTGGCTTCTTTGCTGGAATTTCCACAAACAGCACAACAAAGATGGCGCCTCATCTTGATGGGTAAACAGTAGTTGTACTTTGACACCTGTAGGAGTTTAAAAAAAACATGTTCAAAGTTTATCATGAATGTACAAGAAAAAAAGGACTTCTCAAAGGCTTTGAGAACTTGTATTTAATTTTTAGTGACTACAAAAAAAAGTCAAAGTGTAAGGGCGCTCTCACACTGGGCAAAGTTGATCTGTACGGTGCTGAAGCACAATTGTCCCCACTCCTCATTCCCATGCTGACCTGCATGCACATTGCTCCAGGACAAACCGGGCCTCAGAATGTACCTCTTACTTACCTCTTAAACATGATGTCTTAATACGAAACATGCATGGCTTTTAGTTTACAAGACACTCAAAAAAAGAAAAAGTTGAGTCCATGTCCGCACATCGGAGAGCAACACAGGAGAACATGACTGCATTTACTGTCTTTGTGGCTTCTTGTGGAGTCATTTAGGACAGATTCATCCGTAACACTATCTCGATAATGGAAGGCTGGGATCGATTATACTTCATGTTCACATTGTGTGCCCTCCGTGTGCTCGCGCATGAGCAGCTGTACCGTGCCGAAGCACACCTCTTCCATCCATGCCAGGGCTTGAGCAAGTGTACCGGGCTTGAGCACAGAACGGAGCACTCACACTAGGCAAACAAACTGGACTTTAAGGGTCAAACGTGGTTGGGCACGGTACAGACTGCCTAGTGTAAGTGCGTCTTAACACTGCAATGCCCAGCTAATCTTCTTCATCAGGACTTTACTATATTTGACATAAAACTGTGGTTTGTGTGGGACACCTTCACTGCTAGTAAGCTGTTCATTGGGAATAGTCTGAAAATCTGCTTTTAGTCAAGTTGCTCAAAAGCTGTAATGGTGTCTGTCTCTGTGCAGAGTCCACGTCGTCTTCGGGGTTGTCATCTCGGGCTTTGAGGTGATTAAGAAGATCGAGGGGCTGAAGGCTGACTCGGCCAGCAGACCCTACGCAGACGTGAGAGTGATGGACTGCGGGCAACTTTTCACAAAGTCTGCTAATGATGGTAAGCTCAGCAACTCGTCGGCCTTGTCTTTAAGTTCAGGTATCTTTGTTATTTCATCTTGATGTCAACAAATCTGATGAAAAGGTGAAGGCTGCCATCTCTATCCTGAATAATGGTCAAAAATACGAGTCATTTTTATCAACTGTTCCTTCAATTTCTATTTGCATTTAGAAAGGTAGTAGTAAACACTACTTCAACAGGACTACTTTGTGGTTTTGTTGGGGAATCATTTCTGCCTCTGGTTATGTGTCTGGATTCATTTTTGTACAGAAGTGGATCTCTATAGTAAGTCAGATTAATGCACTGAGTTTGACTCTTTTAAAAAAAAATACAGATATCTGGTGTGCATTATGTCAGACAAAGGCTTTAGATTTTCACCAATGTTTTTAAGTTATCTTTTCAAGATGCCTTCTGTCGCCTCTTCTTTTTTCCCTGTGTGAAATAAAGTGCTTAGCTTGAGATTGTAACTGGGTCGTGTTTTGTGTTCATGCTGTAAAAGGTTGGCATTCTGATGCCAGTGCCCCCCCCCCCAACCCACCCCCACTGACATTCACGTGGGGCGTGTAACCCGATCTTCTGTTTAATGAGGATCAGTGATCTCTCTGGAGCTCTGTTGGCATCTGCCCACCTGACACTGCCAGGCTGTCATGGCCTCCAACATACAGAGAAGAATCACACAAAGCCCGTGTTGGTTTCATGTGACTCTTCTTGTATGAGTCGTTCAACACATCAGTGCTCATTTTCTTTGTGAGAACAAAAGCTATATTTTTGTTTTATGACATACATGCTGTTGTGTTACTGATTTCAGTACTTGAAGGCAAGAGGAAACGACTCTCCTATTCTGCTGAGTCATCCCAAAATTCCCTCGACTCCACCTCTGCGCTCTCGTCTTCAGAGGAATCTGAGAGTGAATCAGATGAGAATCAAGTTAAGAACAAGAAACATGGAAGTAAACGGCCCAAAAAGAAAAGGAGGGAATCAACAAAGAGGAAGAAAACTGTTGATCTGCACTCAGCACAAAGGTACTTTTATAATGTATCTTTTTTTTAAATCATATTTTTACTTCAATAGTTACTCACCTGTCCTTACTGTAGTTTGAGATCCGTGATTCCAGGTAGAAATGGAAGAGATAACACGATTGCTGTGTGACAAATGCATAACAAAGCATTGTTTTGCATGCGTCCATGTCATGACGCTCTCACAGCCCTGTGGATGAAGCGACGCTGGATGGAGAGAATGAAGTGGACGGAGAGAAGGAGCCGAGTGGAAAGAGAGAGAAGCCCATCGTCCGACCGGAGGAAATCCCCCCGGTGCCAGAGAATCGCTTCCTGCTGCGACGGGACATGCCATCTCAGGAAGATAAAACACAGATGTCAGTTTGAAGTTGGAGTTTATTTATGTGTTTGTTTAAGCTGACTCGTCTAAATAATTACAGTAGATTTGACTTTTCATTCTTTTTTTCCAGAGTTGAGAAAGAAGAAACTCCTCTTTCAGCCGACCAGAAACCGGCCGTTTCCAAGTCTGGACGGAAGATCAAAGGCAGAGGCACAATGGTGAGCTCACCTCACTTGACATCTCAGATTTGGTGTTCAGATGTTTGTTTGCTGTTTGAGTAGTAGTAGTATACACTGCTCAAAGAATGAAAGGAACTCTTCATCCTCACAGTATGACACCAAATCAGTTCAACTTCAGGGATATCAATCTGTCCATTTAGGAAGCACAAGTGATTTTTAAATCATTTTCACCAGCTTTGGTGCAAATGGTAGTGACAACATCTATTTCTGTACATTTTCTTCTTTGCAGAGATATCACACCCCCACGAGGTCAAAGTCGCGCTCTGTGTCTGTGGAGGAGCGTGGAAGCAGTGAAACTCCGCCACACTGGAAAGAAGAGATGAAGAGAACAAAAGTTTATCAGCCGCCGAGCGTTGAAAGATGGAGCAAAGGAGACAAGTATGGCTATTTCTTTTCTTTTTTTTTCTTTTTTTTTTTAACCAATAAAGCTGTTTTCACTCATGCACAAAACTCCTGAAACAATTCCTGACATTTTCAAGGTGAGCTGCATGTGTGAACACAAGCCTAACTTAAGCCGGACTTTCTCCTTCCAGCCCCGGGGTAAAATTTGTGTGAAAACAGCTGAAGATGCATGTTTTTGGTTTATTGCATCTTCTGACTTTAAAAATGGAATGATTATTTTCGTGCAGATGGGACGACAGAAGCGACTCTGCGTGGTCCCGCTCAGCAGAACAGTCCTTAGCAGGCAGCTCGGAGAGGTCCAGCCTGCAACATAAACAGAAGAAAGAGAAAAAGAAATCCAAACACAAGAAGAAGGCCAAAAAACGGAAACAGGGCAAGAAGAAAAGCTCCAAGAACAAACCTCAGGAGAAGCACCTGTCAGAGGGAGAGAGGTCTGCGTCCTCCGAGAGAAAGTCCAGAAGATCCCGCTCTCCGTCCCGCTCCTCCTCCAATCAGCATCATTCATCACCAAGGAGACCAAGGCGGTCTTCACGGTCTTTCAGGGACTCACCATCCTACTCCAGATCCTACACATCCAGTCGGTCCAGATCTAGAGGGAGATCCAGGTCTTATTCAAGATCCAGAAGCCTTTCTAGATCTAGAAGCAAGAGTCTTTCTAGATCCAGATGTCGGTCTTACTCTCGGTCACGATCGAGATCTAGATCTAGATCCAGGTACAGATCAAGATCTTCATCCAGGAAGAGGAGCTCATCCAGACCGCCAAGAAAGAGGAAAGCCAGCAAGCCCAAAGCTGACGCCTTGATCCACGTTCCTGAGAAGCTCTCAGATGGCAAAGTCCTGACTGCCCCCAGACTCCCGCCCGCCCCGGCTCCTGAAAGCGTCCCTGTGATCCCTCTGAGTGACAGTCCTCCGCCTTCACGCTGGAAACCGGGTCAAAAGCCTTGGAAGCCCTCATACATCCATATCCAGGACATTAAAGCTAAAGTAGCTCCAAGTAGCCTTTCCTTAGCTGGACAGATAGCTGACAGCATCACAGAGAAAACTCAGACACCCAAGTGTCTGCCAGCTGAGTCTGAAAGTGACAAAGCACGCAAACCTGCACTGCGCTCAAAAAGCAGATCCTCCAGGAGCAAGTCCTACAGCTGCTCACGGAGCAGAAGTTACAGCAGGTCCAGATCCAGGTCAAGGTCTTCATCCTACAGCAGATCAGGCTCGAAAACTCCCAGAAATCCCATAGCAGCAAGAAGAATCTGCTGAGTAAGGAATGGAAAGATTATTACAGCACCCTGAGGAAGATAAAAAACTTAGACAAGTACATTTCACTCGCAAGTAGTAAAGAGGCGCCGTCCGTATCAGAGAAGGAGGCAGGATGTGAGCAGGACCCTGATATCAGGAGAACTGGCTCTCTGGAGAAAACAAAAGAGAAAGGCAGCTCTCAGGATGGAGAGATGAGACATTACAGCTCAGTGCCAGCAGAGAGCTTTAATAGCAGGTCTGAATGGGACAGTGACAGTGATAAAGTGAGCCAAAGCAACAGCGCCGCCCTGTCTAAAAAACAGAAACAGGCAGCTCAGTCCAGTGACGGTTTTGACAAAAAGTTGTCTGCTCTTACTGGATGGAACTCGGAAAGCGATTCTGAAAATATACCCGCAAGAACGTTGGCAATATCTGAAAGAGAGGAAGGCGAGGCAAGTTCAGAATCTGAAGACGAGACCTCCAAGAAGACGTCACAGGCAGCGCCTGCTGCCGTCAAATCAAAGCAAAGTCCTGAGAAGGAGCCGGAGAGACACAAGAGCAAGAAGAAAGCCAAACGTAAACACAAGCACAAGAGAAGAAGTGAAAACAAAAGCAGATCCCATCACAGTAAAGCCAAAGGGAAGAGATCTAAAAGGAAACATCAGAAGCTCAAAGAGACTTTTCACTGGCAGCCGCCGTTAGAGTTCGGAGAGGAGGAAGAAGACGATGAGTCGAAACGAGAGAAACGCAGTCCTGGAAGAGTCGCTAAAGACAGACCTGGTGCAGACAGTATGACTAAAAAGCAAAATGTAACCTCTGTGAACAAGAATCCTACCAGAGAAGAAGAAAGTACCAACAAAAACCTGAAACACGCTGAAGCTCATCTTCACTCATCCAACAGGAACGGTGCCAATGTAGCCAACGTCAAAGAGCAGGAGTCTTTAGTGGATATGGACATTTGTACCCCAGAGCATGAGGTTGATATTGAAGAACCTCCAGTCACACAGGATCATCATAATGATGCCTCAAAATCTACCTCAAAGTCTGTAGATCTGCTTTTACCTCGTAGCAAAGAGGAGCCTTCTGTAAACTTCTCAGCGTTTGGACTCCAAGAAGAAGGATCCTCAGATAAACCTGGAATAAACTTCAAGTGGAAGCCTTTGAAAGGAACGTCAGCTTTTCAGAACATGAACCTGCAACCCGTCACCGCAAGAAACGCCCAACTTCAAGAGACTGCCAAAGCAGAGGGAGTGAGAATGGAGATAAAGAGCAAAAGCCGTGTCAGACCCGGATCTCTGTTTGATGAGGTCCGGAAAACTGCACGGCTCAATCAGCGACCGAGGAACCAGGAGAGCTCCAGCGAGGAGGGATCTCTCTCTGACGGAAAGACGAGGGGGGCGTCACACACCAGATCCCCACCGAAGAAGAAATCTAGGTCCGCGTCCAGGAAGTCTCGCTCGGTCTCCAGCCACAGGTCCCGCTCCAGAGGCAGGTCCCGCTCCTACAGCCGGTCCAGTAGTCGATCCCACAGCTCCAGCTATTCCTCCAGGTGAGACCGTTTGATTACATGAAGAACAAAAGGGGAACAAGTGGTGAATGATTCTCAATGCTGGACGGTCTTCTTCATAGAGATTGGTCTTGGAAGTGTGTTCTTGTTCTTTGGTTAACCAGTGTGATTCTTTTTTAGGAGCCGCAGCAGAAGTCGGAGGAGACGCAGGAGAGGACGGTCGCACTCTCGCAGCAGCACATATCAAAGTTACAGGAGTCACAGGTAGACACTGAAACGCTGGTTTAATAATCTGTTGCAGCTAATGGATCCCAGAGGGGAAGTCTTTTCAGCTACCCTCAGGATTAAACTTTAAGTTGGAAGTTATTTTGTTCTTTTTATTTTATTACTCACTCTTTAAGGACTTGCATGTCTGTTTTTATTTATTATTATTATTTATTTTTTTACAGTCGGACGCACAGTAGGAGTCATTCCAGAAGTCGCTCTTATACCCGCCGTCGGAGATCTAGGTTTGACACTGATATTTTCATTTGTTCCATGTTAGTGGTCACAGAGTACCTTCTTCCACGTTTATGCTACAGCTACATTCAGATCTAAACAACAAGATGTCTTTGACGGTTAAAACAGGCATGAGGTGCATGATGCTGCACTCTTCATTCAAAGTTTGAAGTGATCATTTTACAACTGTCAGTTTTTATAAAGTTTGGTTTGATAAAGTCAACATGGTCCATGGAAACAGATTGATACGCGACTGTTTCGCTCAGAAGGAGAGCTTCTGTGTGGAGAGTTTTAAGTGCTGAAATGATTACATCAACGGATCATGGACTGGTTTGATCATTTACCCTTCAAGCAAATTAAAGATTTGATGAATGTCCTTGACATGTGTCGAGGAAAAGCAGCATCTATTTAATGTCTCTTCAGTGTTTGAGTATTATTCATCACTTCATGACATGTTATAGAATAGAAGATAACCTGAATACCCAGAAAACAATCAGCAGATTCATTAATTGTACGCTTTTCCAGAGAAACCCTATCTGCAGGCATTGATTGTGTAATAATTTGTTATTGTATTGCATGAAGCAGGAACAACCAATCAGTCTTTTTCACCGTGCAGCAGACACATTGATTATTCAGTTAATAAAAGGGAACAGAAACAGCGTCAGTTTTTTATCAAATCACCTGGACGTTGCTTTTCTGTTGAAATCAGCTTCTACTTGATCCATGTCCCCCAAAAAGTATATCTGTTGTCACCCGGCTGTATGTTTGTGCAGGTCAGACTCCTACGACAGCTATTCCAGCCGGAGTCGAAGTGTGAGCAGGAGACGAGGCCACAGACGAAGTGACAGCTACAGGAGCTCGGACCGGCGCTCCCGGTAAGACGCTCTGCTCCCTCCTGGACTCTGACGGACATGGAGGCAGATCTCAGACCAGCCTTTTTAACCCCCCACGTTTTTTTCTTTCTATGCTAAACGTTATGCCACTGTTTAACACAAAGATATATTTACGGTTCAGTCTTAATTCAAGCCCAAAAAGTCAAATACTTAAATGTGATTCTGGTCTTTCTTAGCAGGTCGTATCACTCCTCCAGTCGCAGTTCTTCAAGGCGCAGAAGTCACAGTCGCAGCAGTCGTTACAGCTGAGCGTCAGGCGGAGAGGGAAGAAAACCACAAAGTCTGGACACTGAGAAAAACACAAAACTAAATACTGCTTTTATAATCCATGAGCAGCTAAAATGTACAGTATATGGGAAAAGTCACTTCAAATCTTGAAATGTGTTCCTGGGCTTTTATCCTGGCTAAATGAGCTGATGTGAGAAAGTCCATTTTAGAGAATGTAAAGTCAACCTTACAAGCCAACAGGAAGGCGACTCAAAAGTCCTGGATGTATAAAAAAACAAGGTCTTTGTGATATATATGCTGTATATATTTTATATCTGTGTAATGCTTTTCTATTTTTATTTTATACACTGAAACGTACGAGAACGCATACTGTAAGTGTCCAATCTTTTCACAGGTGGGAGGGTATTTTTGATTTAGCCTTAAAGTCAGGATCAGCAAGCAGGGTTGTTCAGTAGAAAAAGAAAACTATGCTGCAGTGGAAGCTGTAGTAGTCTTTGTTGTCTTCGTTTAAAACTGTACCATGAATGTTTAAGCTGTACTCAAAGTATAGTGTGTATCATTTTGATTCAAACAGTTATGAATGTACATTGAATAAATACCACCACTTGTGAAGCTTTTGGTTATTCTTTTTCTATGGTTCTTTTTCTTTCAGAGGCTTATGTTCTGAGTGTCTTACCTCTACAATGGCGCCGCCTACCTTTAAGTATAGAATGTGCAGCTTGTGTGGGATGCACAGTTCTGTCTTTAGGCTTTGTCCATGCAGACTTAAATATGTGTGTGCCCCACACTATGAATAAAATGTCATGCTCTACAAATCTATAATCCAATTCCTTGCTCAGTTAGATTTGAATAATTATATTAAGGAGATATTAAATAATCACTCGGAACCAATGAAAATTTGGTTTCCTTATTTTGTATACTTACATTTCAGGCTGTACTTTTAGGTGAGCCATGGAGCGTTCTTTTTAGCTTCATGGAACAATACTAAAGTTTTCCAAGAGATAGAGATCTTATTGAAATGCTACAGTACTATTTTTTTTTTAATCTGTAAATGTAGGATTTCAGGCAGTGAAACCAACAGTTCACACCTGCTTTGTACGGATGGAGGTTAGTAAGACTCAAACTTGGATGGAGAACACTCCATGCAAGAGAAGTGAATTTGCATGTGCATGGATAACATCGTTTGATTTGATTTTGGACATACCAATCTGCTAGAAAACTATTTGTAACAATGCAAACATATTTGTAGATTCTTTCTTTTTTTAGATTTCTTTTGTTTTTTTACATTTTCAGATGTTACATACGTCAAACATAAGCAGATTTACCACATAAAATGCAATGTTAGTTGCAGCCCTAAGTGAAATAACTTGTGGTAATGTGGAATGCTTTTTGCAGCACTGTACACACCACCACCACAGTACAAACTGAAAAGCTTTATAAGTAATTTGGAGGGGTCATGAATTAACATTAAGTTCTAAAACTTTTGTTTGTTTATTAAATGCTTATCATGCTCCGATTGAATTCTGTGCATTTAAACAATTCCCTTTGTCGGTTTGCATACATACATGCTTGTTATTCCCAGTAAATTTTTTTGTCAAATCTAGGTTTTTAAATTACTCAGAAAAATGGTAAGATGAGTGAACTTCCTGACCTCTGCCTCTGTTTGCCCGCGTGACGTCACACGGTGCAGGAGCGCACTGAGAGAGGAAGCGCATCAAGCTGCTTTTGCGCCATACGTCTGCATGTCCTTCCCAGACCTCTTGCACAGGCCAACAAAAAAAAAAAAAGAGAAAGAAAAAAAAAAAAACACAAGTACAGTACAAAGAAATGCGCCTAGCTCTCAACTCCACGTTAAAACAGTACCGTGTCCCTTTAAAAGCGTCTGACAAAAAGCCCATATGATCCCCGAGCTCCAATCAGCAATTCCTCCTGCAAAAGCAGCCTCTGCATTTTTGTCTGTCTGAATGCTACAGCAGCACGGGGGGGGGGAAAAAGACTGTGGATAAGGCAAATAGTGAGGAAATGTGACAATTCAACGGTCATTTTCATGGAGAAGGGAAAACTGGTGCGAAAGGAGTTATTCCGGGACTCCTTTGAGCCTCGAAACGCTGGATCAAAATGGTAGGCTACAGAGGAGCGCTGCATTTTTGTTTATTTTTTTTGTCCCTGTTTGATCTCTTGCAAATTTGAGCTACTTAGCAGGCCGATCAAACTTATTACACTTGTGCTTCATTATGTGCTGGGACCACTGGCTGTCACTTTGTATTGCAGGGCTGTGTTTGATTTGCGGTGAAGTTTGCAACTTGCCGACATGGCACAAGTTGGAAATTGAAGCAGCTGAAAGAATGCAATGGCTACAATAGCTACATTGATGCGGAGAAGGAGTTAAATTCTTTCATATCAGGGCGCTTCTGCATAAAGGCTCAGGTCGAGACGGGTGCAAATGATGACAGGATGGGTGAAACCAAACCCCCCCCCCTCTCTCCCAGACATGACGGACAGGACAAGTTTGTTAGGCTTTGACATTCACGCACACAGTCTGGATTCTCCTAAGAGAGATGTCACTCCTGTCTTAATAACTTCACTCTGTTGCAGGTGACACTCCTGCAGGCATGTCTGTAGTGGTCAAATAAGAATCAAGCTGCGTGTTAGATTTAGAAGAAGCCTCCATAGTGCAGAGGAATCCCAATTCAAATGACATGTTTTGATCATCAGTTTCATCAGATAATGTTTCATGTTGATGTGGGTCTTGTCTGCTGCAGGAGGTCTGTGTCAGTTTGCCAAATGTCTGACTCCCTTTAACTCCCAACATCCCTCTGTGACTGTGATTTACATGCATTTGAAAGTAGAAGTTGTGGTGTTTTTATCCCCCCCCCATATGTGAGCAAGTATGAGGAAGGTTCTGCAAAGAGAGAGAGAGAGCGTTATGGGAGTAGAGGCAGATAGTGAGGCAGACAGTCAGCTCTGTCTCCAGGGTCATTTTAGGATGCCTCATTAGGAAAGCATGTGGAGCCTGATGCAGCGGTGGAGTAATCCCAGCGCGCGTTCACATCTGGAGGCTTGGGTTAATATCTGGGTCAGGTCAGCGGGGTTAGCCCTGGTGCTCGCTGGGTGGCTTCTGGTGGGAGCAGAGAGGGAGAGGGAGGTTTGGTATTGCTGTGTGTTTGTGTTCCTCTTCTTTTTTTTTATGAGCGTAAGCTGCGATAAAGTGCAAAGCATGTTTGGCAAATACAATGGCTGGTGATTTGAGATACTGTATCTTCTGTTTTGGTAAGCATGCCCTAGATAATTTTGTCAGTTTCTTTGTCGACAGTGACGGCGGATTAGTCCAATGCTAATTTGGTTGTTATCAATAGTCTCACCTTGTATCCTATAAAGTGTCTGCATTCATGGATGGATTACTGATCCGTCCTGCCGGGTACAGGCCCAGCGGCTTGAAGGGTCAGATCACATGGCCTCAAAAACCAGAGCCTCTGTGTGGAGTGACTGTTTACATGTTTTGATGTAAACTAAGTATAACTACAGAGAGACACAAATAAACAAAAAGAGATGCTTAACAACTACAGAGAGACACAAATAAACAAAAAGAGATGCTTAACAACTACAGAGAGACACAAATAAAAGCAGAGGTAAAAGAAATCAAGATGACAACAAAGTGACATTGAATAAGTAAAAATACATAAACTATAAAAAGATGTAAAGTGATCTCCGCCACAAAAGATGTTTACAAACTACAAAGAAAAGAAACTGTTTTACTTGGCAAAAAATTACAACAACAAGACACTCAAAATTAGTAATAGATTTTTTTGTATTTCATGTTGGAGAGCAATTAAAACAATATAATGAGACACAAAACTATTTAAATTAAACAGCAAAAAATACTTCAAAAAGAAGCAGTCCAACTTTAAAGAGAAATGAAACGGGTAAAAGTATTTGTAAATCAACTACATAGAAATGCAAAATGAACCACAATGACACAAGAAAGTTTGACTGGACGCGACATTACTGCAAAGAAAAGCCGGGCAACTTACAGGAAGCAAATGAAGAATGTTAGGATTTAGGTTGGAGATTTGTTTGAACAGCGAAAGAAGAGACGCAAAACAAGAAAGGGAAAAAAAAAAACATCAACACAAACTGCTTCAAAGTCATGCAAAAATAAAAGAAACAGAACGCGTATAAAACACCAAACAACTTCAGAGAGCCTTGATCCGACTACAAAGACACAAAGAAACAAAGTATTCAAAAAACAACTCCACAGACATCCAAAATAGACCCCCCAAAAATGTTTTAAAGAAATACAAAGAGACACAAACCAGTAGTACTTGACACAGGATGACTACAAAGAGATGCTTCAACGACTTTAAATATCTCAAAGATTACCACAAAGAGATGAAAAATGATTTTTTTTTTTTTTTTTAAAGAGATGCTTAAAGAACTAAAAAGAGACGCAGTGACTGCAAAGAGATGCAACCTCAGAGGTCACACTTTGTGTTATCATTTTGTGACGGTCTTACTTTAACCAGGGGCCAACTGTCTCCAGGCCCTTAGACGACACTGTTTTATGTTTTTGTGTGTGTGGATGTGCTGCATGTAAAGCTGTCTCAGTTGAATTAGAGCTTCATAATGCACACTTTGTGCCCTCTGACGCTGCTTAATTTCAGAGAGCGTTGTCAGGTCCTGAGCGGCTCCTTCTCTCTCCTCACAGGGTGCTGCGAGTTTTACGTAACTGCCTATTCAGGGCATTCCTGCCCACCCTTGACTTTGAGGCTTCACTGTCTCTGGGTGCTGAGCGAAGGAAACTTGTCTTTAGTCCTTGTGACAAGTGCAGCCATTCCCGAGCCCCGGCAACAAACTCCAGCAGACATGTGTGGCCCCTGGTGGGAGGCGACTCTCCTTGGAAACTCAGACTGTACTGTAGGTGCTGCTAATTTATGCCCCTGAGATTAAGAACAGTGGACAAGGCTGCAGAGAGCAAGGTCAGACTCACCCCGCTTATGTAAGGGTTCTTTTGTTCCTCGTGGTTAAAGTGGCACAAGCTTGCTTCAAACATGTGTTTTACTTCTTGGAATAAATCCACATTTGTGTAGTTTCTCAACTAGCTCAGTGTTTTTCATGGGTTGCTCTATTTTAACCCCTGTGGCACTTCTTTTAAAAAAAAAAAAATGACTTGAACTCTATTATCAAAGAGGCCAAACAGCTTTTTCCTTGGTGTACAGCTTGATATGAGGATTTCTATTAGCCTTTCATTGTCAGGCATTGAAAGATATTGAGAGAGTATTTTTAAGGGCTCTGTCTGGATGGTTCTTATGACTCTTAGCTGAATTGAGGCCAGAGAGAGAAGAGAGAGAGAGAGAGAGAGAGAGAGCGAGAGAGAGAGAGACTTAGGAGGAGCTTTAAAGCAGACTGAAATGAGTTTTCATGCTGCTTTTTTTTTAGAGATTTGCCAAGCAGTGCAGGGATACTCCAGCTGATAGCCTTTTCATGCACAAATATTTGTTTCATTTGCTCACCCATGAAGATATATGTTTGGCTTTTATAGAGGGTGACATCACAAGCACTTTTTTTTTTTTTTTTTTTTTTTAAGCTCCTTCTCTGTGTTTTATGGATTTTGCATGAGGAAAAAATACACATCTAATCAAAAACCATCCGAAATATCACTTCACATCAATTTAAAATGTTGTACCCTTTGACATTTTGGGAAAAGATTCGCATTTGATGTCTTGCTAGAAGTTCTATAAGAAGGATACTTTTTAAACTGTACATCCTAAACCACGATCAAATGGTTAGCTTAGCTTAGCATTAAGGGAGAAACACAGCTAGCTTTGCTACACAGTCACAATCTCCCTACTACAGTTTTTGTTCGTTGAATCTGTAGAATTACAACAATTTGCCTCTATATGTAACCAACTGTTAAACAGTGAATTGAGGTGCTTTGTGACTTTTTCCTGATTCAAAGAATGCAGCCTGTGTGCATATAAACCTGCTGTTCACCTAGCACACACAAAATCCTCCAACATTTCGCTATCTGAAAGCTAACATTTTCAAAACTCTTCGTAAGCAAGGATGTAAAGATGAATCGTGAAATCGGGATAAATGGATTCAAAGGTGTCAAGATTCCCATTGGTGGGACGCGTTGGTGGCGCAGTGGTTAGGGTGCGCGCCCCATGTATTGAGGCTGTCGTCTCATGCGGGCGGCCCGGGTTCGCATCCCGCCTGTGGCCTCCTTCTCCGCATGTCGTTCCCCTCTCTCTCTCTCTCTCTCTCTCTCTCTCTCTCTCCCTGGTTGTCCTGTCTCTCCATTAAAGGCCCAAAAATAAATCTTTTTAAAAAAAAAACCCATCGGTACTCTGAACAATAAATCGCGATAATATCGTGAGCGTCAGCAGCTGTAGAGCGAGATTTCGAAGTTAAGGATGCGCCACCATCCCGTCTCACCCGGGAGCATTATGTACGGTGGCTGGGAGGTGTCAGGCAATGCATTTACAAAAAACGCTTCGCAAACTCCACAACATTTCGAAGAGTTTTGAAAATGTTAGCTTTCAGATAGCGAAAGGTTGGAGGGTTTCGTGTGTGCTAGGTGAACAGCAGGTTTATATGCACACAGGCTGCATTCTTTGAATCAGGAAAAAGTCACAAAGCACCTCAATATTATCTGTAAACTAGTATAGCATGCTCACTGCACCTTAATCTGTATATTATAATCCTAAGAATACACTTATATTTATAGCATTTATTTATATTTATAGCATCCCATTAATCCAGCCATCCAGATATACCTAATAATTCACTTTTTTTAGTCTACATCTGTAAATTTTGTAATTACTGTACATAGCACAGACTCTTGCACTTTCTGCTTATTTGCACTTCTGGTGAGATGCCAAACCTCATTTCGCTACTCTATACTTGTATATGTGTAATGACAATAAAGTTGAATCTCATCTCATCTCAACATGAATGCATTAAAGCTGCAACATGAATGCAAAGCAGTAGCAACATGCATGCAAAAAGAAATTTTGAATTAAACCACAAAGTATAGAGATAACCTCAAATTTTGAATGTAATGTTGTTATATGCCCTGCATGCTGCTCTGTATTTACCGGAAACAATAACGACCCCTGAGC